CTTTCTTGCAGACATTTCATTACCCGGCTAGGTAACATCTTCAGCATATTACCTAATTGGGTAATGAAATGTCTGCAAGAAAGCAACCAAGCTCAGAGAACCCCAAGGACTCCACAGTTCAACCCTGAGTTACACATATTCTCTTCTATTGATAGCTCTGTTTATTCTGGGCCATAGCCATATCTGCTGCTTATATGCAACCTTATATGTTTCCCTGGAATCACATTGCCTCTTCGACCCGAATAGGTTTTCCTTCCCTGCTCCTCCAGGCAGAGATGTAAACATGCATTCATTCTGAAATTTCAAGCTGGATGAATAACCTTATTGAGATGGTGCTGGGAATTACCATTCCCAAGCAGAAGTAATATAAGGTGCTTATACACAAAACCATACGTTGTGCTAAAATTTTGTTTAAGGCAGAAGAAAGCTGTTAGAAAGCAGGTGCCTTTTCCACATGACTGGTAAAAAAAAGTTGGTAATTGCCAAGCTTATTCTTAATTAAACCAAAGGGAATTCTCCCATCAGTCATTGAAGCAGATACTGATGCAGAATATTTCTCTGTGATTTTGCAGTGAGAGCTACATCTGCCAGTCATCTGTTCAGGAGTCATGGGAAAAGCGGGCACAATCTTAGCTTTTATCCCACTCCATCAACAGTTGCCCACGTTGTTTTCTAGAGCTTATGGTGTGGGCACAATTCTGTGCATCCGTGAATCAAGTTCAGCTTAAATATTAATCATGCAAAAACTGCTGCCCTAATCATATAAGGAACTACTAGTAAGAAACATTTTTCAACATGCTGAGGATCATATAAAGCCTTCTAATATTGCACATGCTATGTTTCACTGTCCCATGGTTAATTAGAAGCCAAGCGTGCACTCCCAAACGTACAGACTTGGGAACAAGATCCACTAAATCTAGAGGACCATGTCATATACTGATGGATTATAACTAAGCAAGATACTTTAAGGAAGGGCTCAACTTAAAAAAAAAAAAAAAAGCAATCATACAAATGTACCTTTGGCCTTCAAATGACTCAAATTATGAATTGTGCTTATTACTTTTACACCCATCTAAGCTCAAATATATAGGAGTGTTAGATAAGCAATTTGTAGCCAGACACTGAAAGTTATAGTGATGAAATCTGAAGTCTGCATCTGTGCTGTACTCTGCAAGCTATTACTCTCTCTGGCTAAAGAGTGACAAAACCTGCAGATGCAAAAATATATTATCAAGCCTAGCATATTTCAGAAATTGTCCATCTTTTCATATGCACACACGTATTATATCCTGCATACAATGCAGCTCAAGAGTATCCTGTTTAAGCCATGGTATTCTGTCACTTTTTCTTTTAGAGAAATGTAAAGCTTTTATATTCTGGATAAAACTAAAATAAAACTAAAATTCTCTTGTTACGTTTTATATAAGTAATTGGTGCTTTTAGTTTTCACTTAAAAAATCGGTGTAGTTGATAGTGGAAGGTTTCTTCCTGCTCTTTCCTATTTGGTATCTCTCTCTTTCTTTTTCTGCTGTTCCTTCTTCTAAAACATACCCATATTGAAATTGTAGCCCTTCAACTTTATCTCATTTCTGTTAAAAAAACAAAACAAAACAAAGCCACAGATGTTAGTAGAGCCATTCATTTCCCGTTAACCAAAAAAGCCTGATCTTATTCTTTGTTTTCGTTCAGCATTAACAGCATATGCTTATGTATCAGTCCCTCATAAGGGAAGAATTTCTCTGCAAAATTCTGTTATTCAGACCAGAGTTCCTAACAGAGTTTTCCTTACATCATCATTAAGCTTTATTTTAAACTGTTAAGAACATTCTGATTTCCACACCTTGCATGTGTAGTATTGAACAGAAAGAAGTAGGCCTATCACCATTCTATAGCAGTCCTGTGTTAACAATGAATGCAACAGTATTTTCTCCTTTAGAAACAGCAGTAAGGAGATTTATTTCACCTGGTTTTTCGGAAGACTAAAATCCATACAGTTGGGTAGGATCTGTTTTTTTTCATGGAGTTTTTACAGTGTACAATATATGACTGCATAAGATCTCATTGTCTATCTCACCTCACAGCCTCTGTCAAGTACTGCCAGCAGAGATAAATTGTTCTGGAGTAGTACATGCAACTGTGATACTGAGACTTTGGACTTGATTTTGTGAGAAACTGTTCAGAGATTTCTGTGTTGCCATAAAAAGCTAAAAAGAAAATAATAGAAACCAATATTTTATAACATAGGCAAAAATATCTTTTAGACAACATCATCTTAACAGCAAGAGCAATGTGATGGCACAATTCCATTAACCATTTCAGGATGAATTTTTATTGCATTCTTTCAACAGAGATCTACTTTAGACCAAATCAAGAAACATCAGGTTGAGACACACATTCAATGGCCATCCTTAGCCTTAATTAAGGCTTCCTTTCTTGATCATTTTGATTGTATAATTGTGACAACAGGAAAATACAGGCAGGATCCACTCAAAGTTCTGAGTTGCCCATGGATCTCTAAAACGGCTGCAAGGTGCCTGATTGAATAGGACCCAAAGCAACACGGAAAAGAAGCAGAATAGACTCTTCCCATAGACATTTCTCAGCAGGAAGACTATATCACAAGTGTTTTTTTTTCCCCAGTTCTCTGAAGCTGATCAGTAATTCGATATTTAAGAAACCCTCTTACAGATAAACTGACTTTTGCTTCTAATAAACACTGAGAGAAAATTACCCTTAGTAGTACTGATTTCATCTCTCTTTCTCTTTCTTCTTTTTTACAGATCTAGATACTGACTCACTTATATTCTCTAGACATGGGAGGAATTCTGCAATTAGTGACTCTCTCTATATAGATAGTCCTCATTTAACTATACTAATTAGGACCAGAAACTCCATTGTTAAGCGATGCGGTTGTAGTCGAAAAACCATGTAACCCTGTCACTTAGTGATGGCAGTTCTGGCAGTCCCAGTTGCTGTAGTTAAGCAAGGACCTGACATGACCGTGACTTGCAACTTCCTGCCGGCTTCCCCATTGACTTTGCTTGTGGGAAGCCATCACAGAATCTCATGACTGCGGCTCGCTGCAACATCATAATTATGAGTCAGAAACTGACTGCCCAGATCATGATCATGTGACCATGGGGACACTGCAATGGCTGTAAGTACAAGGTCCAGTCAGCACCATTGTAAGTTCAAATGGTTGCTGAACAAGTGGCTGTTAACAAGGATAACCTGTACTGAAAAGCCTGTAGCATATGACTAATATGTCCAAATGCACCATCACTTGAACAGGTGTCTCAGGAGAAATCTAGGATCTAGAGAACCTGGAGTCCCCTTACCCCTCTATATAGCCACATATTCTTGAAGGCTGCCTCCTTTCCCATGAATGGCCCTCCCTTCCTGTGATTTTTTTTCTTCCTAGTGTTTTTTCCGCAGGTGCAGAGTCTGCTTTTTTTCGGATCAACCAAATGTTGATCCAGTGGTTGTGACAGGGATTGACCCTCCTTTCCTATGAATATCCCATGAATATTCCCATGAATACCACCCTTGGGGAATCCAGTGGATTACTCTCATGCTGATCTCACAGCAGAAAGAATGGCTGCTTTTAGCATGTCTAAGATTCCCCACTGTAGACTTTGGAACTGCAGCCCCTATTGAGCTCTTGAATGGTGATAGTTTGCAGCTAATTCTCTGTATAACCACCTTCTGTAAAAATATTTTGCCCATTTATGAACTCACAAGATTGGACCATGGGATCGTTTTGTTCTGGCTTTCTTAAGCCAGGAATGGGCAATATTTCAGTATTTAGGAGGAGTAATCCACAGAGGTCATTGGGTAACTTAGAGCCAATCTTTCTTGTTCAGCCCAACGTATTTTACAAGATTATTGTTGGGAAAAATAAGGGGAGACGACATATATGCTAGCTCTCAGGAGAAACAGTGGAAGGAAGGAAGGAAGGAAGGAAGGAAGGAAGGAAGGAAGGAAGGAAGGAAGGGAGGAAGGAAGGCAGGAAGGAAGGAAGGAAGGAAGGGAGGAAGGAAGGCAGGAAGGAAGGAAGGAAGGAAGGGAGGAAGGAAGGCAGGAAGGAAGGAAGGAAGGAAGGGAGGAAGGAAGGCAGGAAGGAAGGAAGGAAGGAAGGGAGGAAGGAAGGCAGGAAGGAAGGAAGGAAGGAAGGGAGGAAGGAAGGCAGGAAGGAAGGAAGGAAGGAAGGGAGGAAGGAAGGCAGGAAGGAAGGAAGGAAGGAAGGGAGGAAGGAAGGCAGGAAGGAAGGAAGGAAGGAAGGAAGGAAGGAAGGAAGGAAGGAAGGAAGGAAGGAATCATTTTCCAGGATGGACATATGACATTTAAGCAAAACTTCTTTACAACTGTTTTCAGCTTTCTGAAGAAGCTAGAGAATTAGCTTCTAAGGTATAGAAATATACACAGATACTAATGGTGAGGAGGATTGCTAGATCATAACAGCCTGGCCCTGTTACCTCCTTCTTTGTTCACTTCTACTTCGAGAAGCTTTAAACCCACACAGGCATCCAACAGTCTCTCCATTCCATGGAGGCTGCTCCCCAGACGTTCCGCGATGGCTTTGGATGACAAGTTTTCTTTGGATTCTTGCAACAGATCAAACACACCCAACTCACAGGCAGCAAACATCACCTCAAAGTGTAGAAAAGAAGAATTAATGGCATGAATGGGAAGCAGGGACACACTGCTTGCCAGCAATGATTAAATCCAAAAGGCAGGAAGAGGAGGAGGGATAATTAAATTCAAAACAGCAAAATATGTCAGACCTTCAGCCAGGTTTTAAACTACACTTGGCATTGATGGCATGCATGATTTCCCTATGGAGCCCAAAGTGCTTTTGTGAGGTTGTTGTTATGCCATCCAAACAAAAAACCCCTACTATATTAAAGCCACCACTGCAAACAAAATATGATTATTTTTTTCACTTGGGATTTTTGTTTTCCTTTCATGGTTTCTTGAATAGAGCACTGAGATAATCAGCTAAGCTTAAATCAATATTTTGCTTTATTATAAATAATTTAGAAAACAATTTTTAAAGGTGCTAGACTGAAGAACTTTTGAAAAGCATACCTTTAAAAGTGATTTGTCAGGTTTTTCCAAGGGTTTGTAAAAGTACATCGAGTTAGAATTCTGTTACATTATGCACTTCTTTCTTTTTTCCCTAACTACTGGTGTAAGACAAGGGCACAAGTTTTTGAATGCTAAGTAATTGTATTCTCTCTACATGTCAATAAGTAAGGAAAGTAGTCAGGAAAATCTATGGGCCTTTTTACTGGTAGCAAGGTCCTTGGTATTTTCTAAGCAATGTACTTTGTTTGTAATCCAAGAATCAAAAGTCTCCAGATTAATATAGTTCTGAAGATATTTACTGTTTGCTTCATTTTCAGCTCTGGTTGGTTGGTTGGTTAGTTATAGTTATAGATATAGATATAGATATAATTATAGATATAGATATAATCTTGATCCAGCCAAAATTATGGATTTTCCTAATTCATGGATTTAATTTATTTTGATGTTGGCACAATTCTTTCAGGTGATACATTCTACATTCTAGTTTCTACATTCTGTCGACAATAATTGTTCAATGGCTGGTGTGGGTCTTCCGGGCTGTGTGGCCGTGGTGTTGAAGTCTTGTTTCCTA